AGCAAACAACTTTAATGTTATCATTATTATCTTTCACAATATAAGATGAGCTGTCATTTAATGGCTGCAAGCACATTCAAATTCAGCCTGGCTCATTAAAAAGAGGAAAAGAAAAAAATAGTTTCTCCTCTCTTCCCCTTTCTCAGACAATGACCCCTTCTCTAAGCAGCGAAGGATAAAGTTCTGATTCACTCTGTTCTGTAAGAGCGAGCGTAGGTGTGGGAGAGGTTGCTGTGTGCTGCAGCTGAACATCTGCTTTATCAAGTAGAATACGTGCCTCCATCCTGAACGCCGCCCATCCCAGCATTCATGAGTCTTGTTTCCCCGCAGCTCCACCACCGAGTCTGCCCCCGGCTGAGAGAGGGCCGAGTGAAACCGTTAAGATTGAGCTGCTGGATGACATTCAGGTGGTGAATATGTCTCTCCAAGGTCTTACATTACAATCCCTCTTTATTCTCCTCATTCTACCCACAGCCGGCAGCCTCAGCAAAGTTTTTCACAGCATACAAAAGAATTCTATTTGCACACCTTTAATAGAAAAATGAAGGTTAATACATAACAGTGGTGGGAGGGGTTATAATGGTCATATAGTCTACAATTGAAAATAAAATGTGTGTGTTATGTAATATCAAACCTTGGTGCCCAGACTAACATCCCTGCTCTCATGTAACATCACATTCCCAGAAGCTGAGGCTGGAGACGGATCACTTCAAACCTGAAATCCACAGCTCTGAGCAGAAGTGAGTGTGAGCACATTTTTACAGCAGCTCCTCCATGAGTCAGTCGACCTTCCTTAAGTTACACGTCGATGCAGCTTAGTCTCCCACGCAACACGTAATGCTCGGCTTGATATGGTCAGCTGTGCAATATGCTGTGGAGCAGGGTTTATTTGCCTGAGTCAGACATCCCAAAATGTTCCACATGGTGCCTCAGCAGTTTAAAGTGTTGTGCCGATCAACGTTAAACCATACATGTTTATGTTGTTGACTAATAAGATTAATAGTTTAACCATCACTTCTAACTGTCTTAGCTGTCATCCATTACTTTTATTTTCCTGCTTCAACTGTATACATAAGGCTACTTTTAGCTCACTGTTCCACTGAGTCCCAAATCACCCTCTCATTCACCATCCCCTACTTTACTATTTAGGATTATACAGTGAGCTCATCCGCAAAAGGAAAATCACTTTTGGACACTACTTGGTTATTATGTCTGCGTTGGGCGGGAGAAATTCCCATAATGCATTTTAAATGTTTACTTTACACTTGAGTATCAGTACTTCCAGGTCAAACGCATGTTAGATGACCATTTTTAATGAATAGACATAAACTGGTTTGGCGCAGTTTTGCGCTGCTCTGCTCTTATTAGAAATGTTACCACCATAACTCACATGCATACATAAAGTAAAACAAAACTCCATCAGAAATCTACACGCTGCATCTATAAACCTGTCTGTCGTTCCTCATAATAATTCAGGTCTTTTTGATAAGAATAGAAAGGAGTTGAATCATCAGAAAGAGAAGGCTGAGACGTTCTTCCCTTTCTCTTCTCAGCTCTCTGCCATTTTAGTCCACTATACAGGGTGTACACATTTCACTTAACATTCTAACATCACTTCAAAATGGAAAAGAACTAGTGAATGATTTCGGACATAGCTATTCAGCTATTTATTTTCAAGATTTTGTTAAATTGTTGTTGTTAAATTGGTGTTTCTGTATTGTTGCATGTCTTCTCTCTATCCCAACCTTCGGACTCAACAAATCAATAATAAATTGTCACAAAACAAACGCCTGCTCAAATATGTGGCAAACAAAAGGAAATTTTTGACAACAAAGTTTTTATACACAAATATTAGTTTGTTTCAACATATTTGATCTCTTTCTATTGCAGTAAAAATGTTGTGAGGAACAGAAGATTCTTACGAGGAAAAAAGAAATTCAACATGGACCCCAA